AGAAGACCATCAATGGAATATATATTCTTTGTTGGAATAAGAGTTATTTTGTGGTATCATAAGAGATAACTAACAATTACAAGATCAATAATGGATGTAGAATATATGACAATAAGTCATGGTGCTGTCAAGGACAAGAACATGATAAAAACAAATAAACAAGTGAGACTTCTCTCATAGAAAGATGATAAAATAGAAATAAATTCATATATATATATATATATATATATATATATATATATATATATATATATATATATATTAAGAAAGAAACTGGAATAGCTATTGCCAAAAGCCAAGAAAACTAGAGATCCTTGAAACTAGACTGGAAGCAAGAAAGAAATTGACAAGAGTGAAAAAGGCTTCACTCTTGTCTCTATATATACTATCTAACTAGGGGCTACGTGGTGACATTCTATAAGACCTCTAATATGTGTTGACTTTGTAGGACACTTGCCTTGACTTACAAGGTAAGTTTTTCTATGTATGGGCCACATATTTAGCTTGATCTTCAAGCTAACAATATGTGTGGCACATGGCCAACTTGTTGACCACGTTTCTAATCCAAAAAGTCAATTAAAGACACCTATGATGTCAAAGTAGCATCTATAAAGCTTCTAGAAAGCTTTTATACCAAATATTATAGAATTAACTTATTTTTATCTACTTTTACTTACTTCTACTTATTTATATATGTAATTACTAGCTTACATGAGTATGCTTGTGATAGGTGCAATGGAAGCAATATAGTTAAGACAACTTTCGGAGGACATTAAAATATTACAAATGAAAGCAATTCTAATGGAGTGTGACAATCAAAGATGTCTTGTATTTATAAAGAATCCAAAGCATCATTCAAGAATCAAAGACATTGTCATTCAACATTACTTCATAAGGGAGGAGATTTAAATGGGAGTGATTGATTTGAAGTATTGTGCAACAAAATACATGCTTGCTAGTTTGTTGACAAAGGTATTAATAAAGGATAGAAATCATATGTTGAAAAAAATATTAGGATTAAAAGCCTTTCGACCAATAACAAAGTAGGAGTGTAAAAGTAAGTAAATAAAAATGAAAATAGAATAAATTATCTTATAAAAGATATTACTTTAGATAAATTGTTAATAATCAAAGAATTCACTTTTGGTGGTTAAAAAGAGCATTCTATGGATATAGAATGAGGTCAAGGAACAAGAGTCAAAGTCAAGAGGATAGAGTATGAACTAGAGAATATCCAAAGACTAGATAAGAATAATTAGTATTTGGCATAGGATATCTTTATGATTAGAAAGATGCCAATCAATCTTAAGATTAAATTTGTAAAAGTCAAAGAATGGAAGTTGCCTTGTAAAGCAACAACCACCACTTATAAGTATTAGGTGTTGGAAGTGAGAAATATCTTACTCCATACTTTCTTTGTGTGCAACCTTGCTAATACTAAGTGTTGCAAATTCATAGTACTTATTTTTCAATACCTCTTCATAATTAACTATGATTTGCTCAACATTTGTAGTATTACTCTTTTGTTATAGGTTGAGATGAGTAGAATGCAACGTAAGGGCCTGGAGGAAGTAACATAATAACTATAATAATAATAATAATAATAATAATAATAATAGAATAAATACCATTCAGATGCCATAACTTGTTATTATAATTTTTAAATTATTTCTCTCCTATTTTTATCCAACAAAATTTTGAATCAATATAAAATATTATTTTATTGATTTTTTAAAGTAAAAAAATTCATTATCAATATATATATATAATCAATATAAGAAAATATTAAATTGATCCACATGTTACGTATTTTAAAATTCATGAATAGAGAAGAAATCAAACTATCGCAATAGAAGTAACAATTATATTAGAAGAAAATATAAAAGAAGTTGAAGAAAGCTAAAACTGAGTTGTAATGCAACTTTTATCAAAACAATTTGTAAATTGGGCTTGGAATAAATGGATTGATTTAAGATATAGGTGGATCAATTTAATACTTTTTAATTTTTGAACATATAGATATATATATATATATATATATATATATATATATATATATATAATATTATTAGTATGAAAGATTATTATTTATATTCACAATAGTCATTATTAAAACTACCAAATATTGTAAAGGTAGTTAAAAAAGCACTAAAGTTGAAATAAGATTGAATTAATAAACTATTATAAGTATCAAAAAAAATTAATAAAAAATTATTATATAATTGAGAAAAATAAAGATTAGCCTATGGACATGGAGATTGTAAAAAATAATAATATACACATAATTATAAAGTACATTACTTCTTGGAGATGAAGTCTACAAAGAAATAAAATAAGAATGTGATAACAAAGTTAAATAATGGTTGTGCAACCGTAAAGAATACATAAAAGAATTATTAAGAGCATTATGGATTTGGATTTTAATTAACTATGTTAGAGAGAAAAAAAATATATCCATTGTAATAACTTATACAATGTTTGTTGGATCATTACAAATAAGTTTTTCAACAAGCTATTCTTTATTCAATAGAAATTGTAGATGGATGTTTAAACTTTTTAAAGGTAGAAAAAAAAAGAATATTAGGCTATTCAATAGATGTTGTTAAAAAATATTATGATAAATCTAAAAAAATATAGAGTTTCTTTCTATATTAAGTATATATAATAATATGTAATTTTTTTGGCTCTTCTTTATTTTTCTTCATAATGTTTTTTCCAAAATTATTATCTATATTTTAAATACAAGTAACTTATATTATTGTTACATAAAATGCCAATTTTCAAAAATTTCTACTTGTATGATTTAATAAAAAATATAAATATAAAAATAAAAAAACTTCATATAAATTCTAAAAATAATATAAAATCCTTGCCTACTAAAATTTATAGTCATTTAAGCTATAGTATTTTTTTTTAATAAACAATCTTATCATACTAACAAACTAGACTTTTTATATAACTCATCTTCAATCACTCTTTTATGCATATATCCTTAAATACAAGTCTTGAAATAATAAAATTAAATAATTTTTTTAAAAAATAATTATAAATTTTATTAAAAAAAAATAATTAGTCATTATTTATATTAGGACTAAATTAATATCTACCAAACTTGTTGTTCTTGAACTACAAGCATGTTAAGTCTTGTCAAGTTTAGATTTTTATTTATTACTCTTCAAGAAAAATCTTTGATTCAAATTATTTTATAAAAATATCTTATCTCATTTGAATGTTATTATTAAAGAATAAACAACATAGGTAATATTGAAAGTACTATAGGTGTAGAAGAATCATATATAATAACAAGTCAATAGTTCTATATAATCCTGTTTATTATAAATTTATTATTACCAAATTAAAATTGAAAATTGTTCTACAAGAACAATTGTAAAATATTTCTAAAAATATTCTCAAAAAAGGTATTACTCAGCAATAGTATCTTTGTAAAACCTTTTATAAGAACTTAAAAATATAGAAGCTTCTAACGAGTTTTTTTAATATTTTGATACTTGTCATGTATTATTATTTAAAACTTATAACAAATTTTAAACTTTAAATTTTAGAATAGAAACCTTAATGTTCAATGGTCGTAACTTTATTTAAAAACTCAACATATGATGTATTACAATTCTAATTTAACTTTATGAAAAATAATGGATATCCAAAGGTGGACAATATTGACAAAAAGAGTTGTAACATATGTAAAAGATGATGTAGCTAAAAATTAATTATATAAAAAAAATTGAGATTATTATGCTTACAGATAAAATTATTATTTCAATAAAGACACAGTAGCAATGATTGTCCCAAAGAAAGACATACTATTTCAATATTGACATTGTACCAAAGGATTTTTACTTGCAACCTTTTTTTAAAATTATATAATTAATTGGATTTGTTTTTTTTTATTCAATAACTATTATTTCTTTTTAAAGAATATGTTGGTGTACTTTATTTCTTATTTCAAGATGTAATCTACACTCTTAGATATTTAGAATTCAACAAAAAATAAATCCATTCAATGCCAAATGTTATTAATAAAGAAATACAACATATATTAAGACTGTTGTTTGTCCAAGTTTTGGTTTTTGAAAATCTTAAAGATAACAAAAACTCATGGTGATATAACTATTGTGGCTATCATAGAAAAAATTGTAAATAAAAGTTTGATGCGAAAGAAAACTTCCAACAATTAATAATTTGTTTAATGTTCTCCAAAAAGTTATCAAACATTAAATTTTATCTTTCACATAGTCAAACAAGTTTTAAAACTTTCTAATCTTGAAACAACTTGATAATACAATTATCAATCACTTAATACAAAAAAATAGAAGTTGATTTTTCTCCAAGCCACATGCTATACATTCAAAGAAGTTCTTACATCAACACACATCTATTCACTCATTGAATAAACAAGAATATGTGCTACATAGAATACAATCAAATCTTTCATACAAAATAAAATTGTTGAAGAAAAAATATATATAGAAAGAGAGAGAAACTTTAAATAGACCTAGACTTTTACTAAATTGACCCACCCATCATGAAAAAAAAATGACCTCTAGATTCATTTCTATACTACTAAAAACCAAGCACATTCATGATGATTACCATATTCTTCATCACGGATACATCAATTTAAAAAAAACTTGGGTCTATTTAACATTCTCCTATATACATACATGTAATAAAAAAAAGTTTTTGTCACAAAAAAAAAATAAAAATAAAAATAACCATCCTTTATATATAAATAGATAACTATTTTTCTTCAATGGCATATTTAAGCATGAAAAAAGACTAAATAGTCAAAGCAGTTGCTTCGTTTGAAATTCCTTCTTTACGGCCTTCAAGTGGGAAAACAATCTAATCCAATGACAATGCGACACGTGGCAGCTTCTGATTCGGCCCATCAGTCCGGACCCCTACACGTGGATTCGTGGGGGGGGGGGGTGTGGGGCTGCGTGACGGTGGAGTTGCGTCGTCGTCTTTGCTTTGCGTAATGTACCTGGTGGCATACCTGTATCGCTTCGTCTCTTCATTTCCAGTCTACCCATTTCATTAATTACGTCTTTTCATGTAGTTTGGATACCTTTTTTTTTAGTACTTAATTTCATGGTGTGAGGCGTTGGGACCATGTGGTCGTTGAACCTTCACAATTTCTGAATCGACTGGAATTCGGTGTTCAATTTGGATTTTGCATTGCTTGGAATTGTCCGGTAGGTTGAATTTGTGGTGGGTTCGTTTTTTAGCTGGTATTGTTTTGTTTCGAAAGCGCTGTGGTGAAATCATCGTTATGATCTTTTTGTGTGTTTGTGCGTGTAGTTGTGTATGTTTTGTGTGTCGATTCGTATCTTTGTTGGATGCGAATTTGAGGGTTTTATTGAATGATAAGATCGGCAGGTGAGGTGGTGAAGAACTGAAGGGAGCACGATGATCAAGTTGTTTAGTGTGAAGCAAAAGCAGAAAGAAAATAGTGCGAATGGAAGACCCATCAATAAGCAAAGCGCTGGTGAATTGCGAGTCCAGAAAGGTTTTTTCGAATCACCTTCCCATGCTTTTGTGTGTAGCTTTAAATTCCGTGACGTTAGCTGAGTCTCTTGCACGTGCTCTGTGTTAAATTAGGGTTGTGTAGCTGATCTGGTAAGACTTCGTAGTGGTCTTTGAGATCGACAGTTGCTTGCCTACTTTTGATTGGCTGATTTTATTTGATTTGACGCTGTCTGTTTGCACAAATCTTCAGTTGCTTTGTATTCATGGTGAGATGATCTTTATGCTGCCTTTTTCGGTGTTTGCCTACTTTTCTCCTTTCTTGCTGCTTCCGTGATTCTAGTTTCCTAGAGATCTATTGCTGTAAGTTATATGTTCATGTTCAAGTAAGTGGTCATGAGCATGAATTATTCAGCTTCTTAATCTGCAACCCGTTCTCAAGGTTACGTATGTTGGTATTCCAGATATAAGTGAGTTAAATCTTGCAAAGACAACTTCTATAAGCTTTCCGAATGGGAAGGACAAACTTCTCGACTTTGAGATCACTATTCGCCCGGATGAGGGCTTCTATCAGTGAGTAGCCTGCCTTGCCTCAGGGATATTTATTACCTTTCTTTCTTTTTACCCCTCATTTTGTGTTTCCGTACTTATAATTGATAGGTATTTTCATAGGAGTGGGTTTATTTTGTCGTGACAGATTTGGTCTCTGAAACCTTAATTGAATATTGAACACCTTGATATTTTTGGCAGAGGAGGCATTTTCATATTCAGTTTTCAAATATCGCAGGTGTATCCTCACGAAGCACCAAAGGTCAAATGCAAGACAAAGGTAGGATGAGTAATCGACTCTAAGGTTTTGATTTGGGAGCGAGCATTTGTTACTTACACCATCGTTCGTGTATTTTTAAGCGTCCTGCAATCTGTTCTCATAATTCTTGGAATGTACGAGTAGACACCGACACTGAGTAGATTCATGATTTTGAAACGTCATCAATCTAATGTAACGATTGCTCAAGTCTTAACTACTTGACTTACAATGTGTGTAGGTTTATCATCCAAATATAGATCTGGAAGGCAATGTGTGTCTGAATATTCTTCGTGAGGATTGGAAGCCTGTGCTGAGTGTAAACTCTATCATATATGGTCTCCAATATCTATTCTTGGTAGGTTTCTGATATTATCTGTTAATGTGTGACCTTGTGGTTTGAAAATAATTCTTGGGGTCCAGACAACTGCGTGGTGTTAATGAAGTGGTATAGCCTCGTGCACAAATTGACTTGGTCGATACATTTCTTATTTAATAAATTTGTCACTTTTTGTTAGATAATGTGACTACTTCTAACCTCTTTTTTCTTTTCTTTTTTTGTTTTTATTTTTTATTTTTTTATTATTAATCTGTTTTTTCAACAGGATCCCAATCCAGATGATCCACTTAACCATGATGCTGCACAAGTTTTGCGAGACAACCCTCGACAGTTTGAACAAAACGTGCGGAGATCAATGGCTGGTGGCTATGTCGGAGGCCATCATTTCCCTAGATGTATTTAACCTCATTTTTTGAATATTAATCAATTTTGTAAGCCTGCAGGTCAGTGGCTCATTCGTTTGAGCACATTGTCGTCATCAATCACTGTAGAATGGTGTTGTAGTGGACACTAGATCCAATTATTGGATGCTGAGTAGTTTTTAAGTGCTATGTTAATCCTGCAGTCCTCTTTTGAGTCAACACTGCCTGAAACACCTTGTGTGAAATGTAATTTTGGAGAACCAGAATTCATGGTTCTTTTGAAAGAAGTCCGTGCCTGGTACGTTGAGGTGTACTGGCCAAGGGTACTTTACTGACCTTGGTCCAAGGCTGGGATTGTGCACATGTTCCTTAGCTTTACTAATGACGACATAGTACGGTACGGTATAAAATTTTGAAATTTTGTTTCACCAAGAGTTTAACTTTCTGCAAATGCAAGGACATTGAATAATAGTTTGATTTACACTGCAAGCACAATTACTACAGGCTAGTTTTTGTGATGTGAGAAGTATCCCTTGAGTCGATGAGATAGAGAAAACTACTTGTCTTGATAGTCGTTGTTTTTCTGTCGAGAAACGCGGTTTATCTTCATTTTATTCATCTCCATTGGCAACCTGGTGTTTTCTCTGGCTATTCATACAAGTTTCTCACGTCAATTTGCAGTCCAACAGATGTGCAATTGTAATAGACGCTGTTTAGTTCAAAATCTGAATAGCATGCCACGTTCCTTTTACCGAGTTCTTTGATTTACATTACAATTTTATTCCAGGTTTCATTTGGACCTGAATTAAGCAATTGCAACCGTTTAATTTTCATCACTGGATTTGGTTGTGCCCGTCTTCATCACCTGTTAGGATAGAAAAGAATGTGCGCTGCCGAGAATGGACCTCTGAATTCTTACCAACTCCAGTCACAGAAAGTAATCGATTTTCAGTAGGTCAGAAAATGGCAGATCAAGGAAGTAAGGTAGTAATGGTAGAATAGGTGTGAGACACAGCGGCTGCCAATGTACCTCAATTTGTTTGGAATGTGCTTGGAATGTGCACTAGTGGTAAAGTTCGTCATTTCTACCAACTGATTGGGAGGTAGGCGAACATGGCATCAAACTTGGTGGAGGATCGCTATTGCCAGAGGATTCTTACACACATGGACATGGAAGAATTGCTTTGACTGAATTGTAGTGGCACAACGTAGAATGCGACTTAAGCTAGCCGACCCATTTCTGATAACCTAAGCATTGTAGCATATATACAATAAGTGTACAAAAAAAAAACGTATATATATATATATATATATAATTCCATGTAGGAAAATAGAAATAAGGATGATTTTAGGTGCTTTCACACAATTTTGTCCAAAGACAAAATTTATATTAATAATTTAGTTGAAGATTTACTTTGATCCAAATTTGGCAAATAGGCCAATTTAATTCCAACTAGTGATTGGTTACAAAATCAAGAATGCTTGATTTCATCCAAATTTCTAAGTTGACATGAAATTTTTAATTTCTTATCCAATGGCCCCATGAAGTTGAAGAAAAATATAAATAATATAAATTAAGTAATGTGAAATCATTAGGTGTCAAAATTGATCAATGTTATTATATCAAGTAGAAATACACCTTATATGTCAAAAATAGAGGGGTGATTGAGAATGAATTGGCCACCTTAGTTGGTACTAAACTTTACAATTTTATTTGCAATTAATCAAGAGTGGGTCAAACCAAGCAATTGTAAACTCAAGGTGTCACTTTCTTACTATTGCTACACCATTAGATTTGGCCATCTCTTCAATGAAATATCTAATTTAATCCAATTTTGAAGAAGTGGCTGATTGTTGATTACAAAGAGAACTACAAATCCAAATTTAAAGTCATTTTTTTATAATGAGTGAGAATTAGAAATATTTGGTGAAGTAGGATCTTGAAGAGCTGTGTTTTCCACTCACAAAAAATTGTAGTTGAGAAAGAATTGAACGGCTATAAAGTACTTCTAAAAGATCTCGAAGCATCAAATAAAGTTTCTTTAATAATCAAACATAGGAGTTGAAATAAACAAATACATCTATTGAATTTATGGTGCTTATTTCTATATCCAAAAAACTGCTCAATAGTTTATTGGTAAATAGCTTATAGTTAAGATGTAATTAAGATAGCTATATATATATATATATATATATATATATATATTTAATCAGAGGAAATATTTACTTATTTATGTAATAAATTGCTCATATTTTATTATTGAGATTGAATAAGTTATTAATGTCTAGGATACTTAGTACTATGTAAAGATAGCTATCATTAACTTCTTTAGTGCAAACATCTTTTTTGAGATCTTGACCTTTTAAAAGTAGTATCCAACATATTTTAAAAGTATTTTTAAAATTATATTTAGTATTTAAAATTATTCTTATAATACAAAATTGAGGTTATATAATATTTAAATAAATTGTTGAAGATAAGGTCTATAGATAATTTGGTAGTACATCATTTATTAGTTGAAAAAAATCTACATTTATTATTATAATGACCATACTATAGGAAATAAAATTCTTTAATAAATTTGAGATTTTAGAGGAAAACAAAATAGAAGATTCTATTCATAAGAACTTAAGTTTGAGATTTTTTTAAAGTTGTGATAATCCTAAAAATGATTTTTCTCATATATAAGAATCAAAATTGTCTGTATATACATATATATATATATATATATATTAAATCATGTTTTATTTATTAAATCATGTTTTATTTATTAAATCATGTTTTATTTATTAAATCATGTTTTATTTATTAAATCATATATAAGAACATTTAAAATTATATTATAAATATACAAGATTGTAGACTAAAAAAATTAAAACCAAAAACAAAAACACTTCAAATCCATTAGATGGCTTTATATATTTCTAAGAAAGAAAAATAAAATAGAAAATATTTTGAAATTGAAATAGAGACATTATAGAAAATACTAAAAATCATGGAATTAGAAATTTAAGATATATAATATTTAAAAATAACTACAAATAATGAACAATATTAATACTTTCGAAAGGATTTTTTTGGAATACGATTAGAATAATTAGAAAGAAAAAATAATATATAAACATATATATATATATATATATATATATATATATATATATATATATTATTAAGACAAGTGGATCAATGTAAAATGATACAACATTCTAATATCTTGGTACAACTTTTTATTAAGGCTAGTAAATACTTTAAAAAAATAAAGTTATATCAAATGTGTTGTTATTTCCATGAAAATTTAAATAATAAATCCTAAAATTATTTTATTTATAAAATAAATATGATAATAAGATTTATATTTTAAAAATAAATAATAATATAATAATATAAAGACAGAAAAATTCAAAAAAAGTTTTAGATATTAGATTCAGAATATAATACTTAGAAATTTAAAATTTATGATTTGAAATTCAGAGATTTAGTAATTTAATAATTTAATAAATATTAAATAATTATTTAGAATTTAAAAATTCAATAATTTAATAAACAGTAATTTACCACTTGATTTGTAGACCTTCAAAATTAGAAGGTAAGTCAAATTAAAACTTACAAATTTCTACCCATGTACAAAGTCAACTCAAAAATCAAAATGGTCAAACACCTAATATCTATAAATATATACACTTTTAGGGTAAATTAATGTTATTTTTAAAATATTCAAATTACAAATAGATTCAATGGTGGTTTCATAACTATCAAAAATCCTTCTATAATTAAAGTCAACACCTTAAAAGTTAAATCAAAGTTGCTATATCTTAAAAACTAAGAATTCATGTGACAAGTTATTTATACCAAAGGAATTATAGATAACAAAAATAGAGTAGATCAAGTCAAAGTAAAAAAATAAGATGGTAAAAAAATTGGATACATTTTTTTAATTTATAAATTCTAAATCCTATATCTTATATCTTAAATCATAAATCCAATGATATTAAATCATGTTAAACTCCAAAAATAAAGATGTGATTTAAATTGAGCACATTTATGTATATTTAAATCTTAAAACTTTGTATCTAATTTGTCAAAAATTTAATTGTTAAATTTAATTTTAGAGCAATTTTATCTTCCTAACCAAATTTTCATAGATCAAAGTATTTATACTATTGGAATTAAAATTTTTAAAAATTTGAAAGTATATCAAGTCAAAATTTTAAAAATAAAGACATCAAAAAATTGAAAACATCTATATAACTTGTTATCCAAATCTTAAAATATAAATTTTTAATATTTAATTGACTTTATAAATTAAATATGTTAGATAATTTGAATATTTACTTATTATTATCTCTTTGTGTAGGTTTTTTTTATATGATCTATATCTAATCTTTTTAAAATAACTATTCTTTATATACTACTATATTTTTAATATATCTTCTCTAAGTTTGATTTTACTTTTTTTACCAACTTATGATTATATTATCTACTAAATTTTAAATAATTTTTTTAAGTATCTATTTAAGAAAGTATTGATAATTCTTTTTGATAATGATATCAAATTTAAACATATTCCAAATCAAAGTGAGTAAAGGATATAAAATTGCCCAATTCATGTTGCAAAGATGTTAATCTTAACTACCAAATAATATTAAAATAAGTCAAAGATGTCAGACCATCTAATTTATTTAAAAATAGTCTCAATCTTTAAAAATAGCTTATATTTAAGGTAGTTAGAGATGTGAGGTTGTATCATGGATATATACATTTATTCCAATAGCTACCTATATGATTAGGTAGAAGTAGCTAAATATAAATTAGTTTCATAAAGTCTTCTAGAAAAGCTTTCTAGAAGCTTTATAGACGTGGTTTTGACTTTAGATGTGTTTATAGGTTAGAAACTTGGCCAAAAAATTAACTACGTATTGATAACTTGTAGAACAAGTTAACTTCATATAGTAGTTCGTGAAATAAGTTAACTATGTGGTGCATATGTAAATAATTTGCCTTGCAAGTTAAGACACGTGGCTAGGAAAATCAACACATGTTAGAAGTCCTATAGAATATCGCCATGTAGCTCCTAGTTAGAGAGTGTATATGGAGGCAAGAGTGAAGCCTCCTTTACTCTTGTCAACGCCTTTCTAACCCTTAGTCTTCTTCCAAGACTTTCTAGTCTTCTTATTTTTGCAACATCCATTCCAGTTCAATATTATATTAACTTTGTGTCTTTCTAGTTCCTTTCAGTGATACAAGAGTCTATTAAAGATTTTCTTTTCTCGAGATTTATGTCCTTGATAGTTTGACAAGAATGCTAACATATTATTTTTGTCTTGCTTTAGAAGTAAGTGAATTATTCCACTTTTATTGTTGT